AATGTTTGCGAGAAGTGTTTTCGCGATGATTTTTTCTGAAATCTTCTCCAGTGTTGCTCATTTGCTTGGCAATCAAAGTCTCAAGAATTTCGTGTTGTTTTCTCTTCTTAAGAAAACAGAATAATTTTTTTAGCTAATTTTCGCAGAATGATAACGACATGCTTAAACAGCTTTGTGGGTTTGTCCTGGGGAGAAGGTGTCACCCGTCTGAAGGGTTTGATTTAATCAGTTGAACAGGCTGAATGTTTGGATATATTGACTTTGAAGACTGTGGTCACCTTCTTATCGTAAGAGGCGGCTAGTGGTATCAGGTGGCCAGGCTCACTGACTTGGTTGACACATAGCATCGCATCCCAATTGTGAAAATCGGTGCTCATGATGTTGATCACTGGATTGTCTGGCCTTAAACAACAAAGAAACCAACCATAAATCTACCCTATACCCCAAACTCCCACAGATGCACTGCGTGAGATTACTTTGAAGGTAAAGACCAAATTTATGGAAGACAACATTTGTAATATTTTTTTACAACAACATTTTGGTAAAGACCTTAAGAATCATTGTAACTGTCAATCCTGTCAAAACTTGTCTATAACAGTATGTCAGAAATTGATAAATATCTATTGTGCCTTCTTTGAAGTCCTAAAAAGTGCCTGGTGGCGAGGTAGCCTAGTGGTTAAAGTGTTCGCTCATCAGGGTTAGAACCCCCACATGGGTACAATGTGTGAAGCCCCTTTTTGGTGTCCCCCGCCGGGATATTGCCGGAATATTGCTGAAGTGTCGTAAAACAAAATTCACTCACTTACAGTACCTTCCCATTTCTTTCTTTCTTCGGTAGCCTTTCTTAAGGTGTACCCTAGTCATTGCAAACACCAGGGTTTGATTCCCAATATTGGTACTATGTGTGAAGCCAATTTCTGGTGTGCCTAGCTGGGATATTGCTAAAAAAAGGCATAAAAAATATACTCACTCACTAGTTAAGAGGGCCCTCATATTTTTTGTTAATTAATTACTGAGACTGTCCTTGACCCCTTGTGTTGTAGGTCAAGGTAACATTCTGCCTATCCCCGTCATTCCTATAAATGCAGTGTTCAGTATTAAGCATGTACACTTTAAGGGTATAAGAAAGCCTCAAACATCTGTTAAATAAATATATATTTTTTATGAAATAATATGTGATAATTTCATGAAGCAGAAGATTATTCAAAACCGACTTCAATAAATGTTAGCATTTATGAACGTATGGACATAAATAACAAAGAACCCTCTGTGTAAATACACACAGCGAGAGCATATAGAAATCCGTTCCTATAAATAAATACATCAACAATAGTTATTCACAAACTGTTTAGGGCGGTGGTTTAGCCCAGTAATTAAAGCGTTCGCTCGTCATGCCGAAGACCTGGGTACAATTCCCCACATGGGTACAGTGTGTGAAGCCCATTTCTGGTGTCTGCCACCGTGATATTGCTGGAATATTGCTAAAAGGGTCATAAAACCCAATTCACTCACTCACATACTGATTATTTAGCCATTAACACAAAAACAGACAAGTATATGAAACCAGTGACACAAGCTCTACCCATTTCATTTCCAGCCGGGGCGGTGGGGTAGCCTAGTGGTTAAAGCGTTCACTCGCCACGGGTTTGATTCCCCACACGGGTACATCTCAACAATGTCCTCTTATAGTTTACTGGTTTACAATCTCCACCAACCTTATCATTGGACAGCCAGGGGTGTATCTGTCACATTTGACCATGTCTTAACTCATCATCTTGTACAAGGGGGGCGGTGGGGTAGCCTAGTGGTTAAAGCGTTGACTCGTCACGCCGAAGACCTGGGTTCGAATCCCCACATGGGTACAATGTGTGAAGCCCATTTCTGGTGTCTCCCGCCGTGATATTGCTGGAATATTGCTAAAAGCGGCGTCAAACCATACTCACTCACTCACTCACTCATTACCAGCCAACCAGGTAACAGTGGCTGGTTACCAGGTAACAGTAGCTAGTTACCAGGCAGTTCCAAATACTGGGAGAGCAATGCAATATTTTTTAAGGCTTCCTTAGGGCACCAAACAGATTAAACATCACAAATCATATGTCATTTTAATTTAATGTTTAATAAATTAGTAAACATCATGTAAACCCACAGACTATGTTATCATCCAAAACAGATTTCCTTTTAAGCACACTGGCATTCAAAATGGCTACGCGCATGTTAAGCTGTGAGACTAAGAGTGCCACAGATGAACAGCTTATATATTCTGGCAGACAAGGATAAGTTGGACCGGCGCAGAGAACGCGTTTACGAGAAGTAGGCAGTGCACGGTAATGAGCAAATCCATTTGGTTTGTGAAAGGTAGAGCAGATGTAGGGTAGTGCACGTGCATTGCATGACAATGAAATTGATTCCACTTGTAGCTGCACACGCCTTGCACATAAGACTCTCACATGGTCGGTGTAGCACTACACATGATTGCGGACAACCTAGGCCCTTTCAGGGGCGGAAATAACCCATTGCCCGACGTCCGAGTCCAGTGTTTTTTTCTGTCGGGCAAACAAATTTGTATATCACACTGTACCGGTGTCCAGTTAACTTTCCAATGTTAATTATGTTGTTTATTTAAAAAATCAGCAAGAAAACGGTCGGTATACTGGAAAAAATATCAGGGCAAGTGACTTTACATGTGCCACTATACCAGAGTACACTATCAATTTTAAAGTTATTTCCACCCCTGCCTTTGCTAACAATGGCAAGCGCCAGTGGGCAGCACTCATACATGCTAATACGGGTCAGTTGTCAGGTTGGTGCTCAACTTATCCTTGTTTGCCAGTAGGTTTTTGAAAAATTTGTTTTGGTCAAATTTATGATATTTTGCATTAAATGAATAGTGTGTACTGTTTTAATGATTTTACCTGTGCTGCCTGGGCAGATTGGAAATATTTCATCTGTGCCATTGTAATATTTACTATGTCATGGCACATAAATTGAGCACTATTTCAATCCCTGAAATATGTTTTTGGTTTCTCTCATAAGCACGAATTATTGGATAAGCCAAATATACAGAATCATTTGTAGCAGTTTATTTATAGATCCATAACCATGGTAACCAGTTTGACTTGATCAATGTGTACAACTCCAAATATATTAAAGAACACAGACTTAGCCACTTAATATGTATAAAATCTTTAAACATTTGTGCGAGGGCCATTTTGCCAGGTCTGGCCACCAGTTACACGTGGTTGCCATTAAACAAACGTATGATGGGGGGACGTAATTTTTTTCCGGAGGTGAGGTGATTTTAGGTTAGGTTTGGTCACCAGCAACTTATATTGTCGTGCGGGGGTCTGTAAATAATCGAGTCTGGACCAGACAATCCAGTGATCAACAGCATGAACATCGATTTGTAGAATTGGGAAGATGACATGTGTCAACCAAGTCTGCAAGTCTGACCATCCAATCCTGTTAGTCGCCTCTTACGACAAGCATGGGTTACTGAAGATCAATTCCAACCCGGACCTTCACGGGTCACTGCTGTCATATTGCTAGGTGTGGCGTTAATGGTTAAAACAGACAAACATACAACCGAGTTACATTGTCTAATTAATCCTGTCGCCTCTTCAGGCAGCATGTCACAATGGCTTTCATGTTAAATAATCAAATAACTGCATTGTGCACTCACCCAATTTCTTGTTTGGCCAAGCTTTTCCATTTCAATAGATCTCGCTTAAACAGCTGTCCAGGTTGAACATGAAATCCTAGGATTGGCACCGTTTGTCAAGAACGTTGCCACTTAGAATGACTCAGAGGATAAAATAACTGTGACATTTACTCACCAGTGGTTGATAAGAACCTAGACACATAATATGTACTAATTATGTATTAATCATTATAGATGTTGGCTGGCTAGCTCTCTAATGCAGGAATTATTCATTTGTGCCAGTGTGCCAACAGTGCCTTTCATTATTGTGTTCATTTTAGGAGCAACATTTCAATATTTGACTCTTTCTGGGCCCATACTCACTCACTTTATCCTGTAGACACATTTAGGGAAGCGTCTTACAATGTAAGCTTTAGACTTTCCAAAGAGGTTCATCAAAACTGAAAACTAAACTAACTTCAGGGTCCCGTTCCTCAAAACGATCGTAGCGTTATAATGATCGTAACTCCCATACTTTAACATAGACTTACGACTGTCGTAGCGCTACAATCGCTTTGAGGAACGGGTCCCAGCACTGCTAAAAAATCTACTGCCAGAATACTGGGGGAGTGATTGGATGTGGTTGTATGCCTGATTTTTTACAATGTTCAGTAACATTATGGTGCTTGAAAGGGTCTTCTTCTAGGGACGTACCGCCATGATGTTGCTGGAATATTGCTAAAAGCGGCGTAAAACCAAATTCAATCAGTCTCCTAGGGATGCCAGAAAGGGTCTTCTTCATCCTCTTCAGCTAAATTTGCGAATGTTTTTGCCACTTGGCTAAACTGCAGGGGTGGAAATAACTTTAAAATTGCTAGTGTACTTGCCCTGATAATTTTTCCACTATACCAGCCGTTTTCTTGTTGAATTTTTAAATAAACAACATAATTAACATTGGAATATCAACTGGACACCGGTACAGTGTGATATACAAATTTGCTTGCCCGACAGAAAAAACCACTGGACTCGGGTGTCGGGCAATGGGTTATTTCCGCCCCTGAACTGCCCATTGCCCAGCTGGCAGAAAATATATTGTCATGTGTTATAATGTCAGTCGATCCCACCTTACACAACTGGATGAAGTAGATATCTTAGATCCTGTACATGACAAAGTTTTATTATTTATGAAAACATATCATTCATAAATGTACCCTTCATGAAATTAATTTAAAAACGATTTTTGGCCATAGCCTCTTTACGCATGCATTTGGGGCGAAACATTTCAAGAAATGTTGAGGACTGTTCTCTGTGAACTACAGGTCAGGGATGATATGACATTAGAAAGCATGCGACAACTTACCAGTGTGACGTCTGCCCGACCTTAATTGTCCAGAGACTGCCATCCTGATCCTCCATTGCTAATTGGGTCAGATAGCTGTTAATTACAACACTTATCTAAGGTTTCGTCTTCACCTATCCTCTGAACGGAGTGGAATGATTGCTCTACTGAAAATTGGATTCAAATATTTACCGTAAATGGTGCAGTTACTGCCCCATATGTTGTCATGGAGACTTTTGCGCGTGAACATTTGGAATTTAGATGCTACAGCTTGCAGAATTTCTGTTAGTGAAAAATATTACAAACCAGGAATCATTTTGTTTTTCAGATACTATTTCAGTGCTGAGAGAATTGGTTTAGAATAACTATAAAGTGGCATAGGGAGTCACGTGACAAAAAACTTATCAAACAAACAAGTCTTTTAGTTATATCAGTGTTGACGAATGGTGTTTCAAAGTAACAGGACATTGGGTCCTGTACGTTTCAGATGTCTGTCTGACCCACTGAAAATTCACAGGACCCACAGAATAAAATTAAACACACATTTCAGATTTAACATTTCTTATAATTGGAATTGAAATTATTAACAAACATAAGTTTATAAACAGCAAACAAGTGTCACATGTCACATATAACAACTTCAGTCAAAGTCGTTGTGAAATATACAGTCAGACACTGGGGCCAGCGGGTTGTAGACTTCTATCGGACTGTTGGCGAATATGCCGGATTTGTCAGAGGGTCGGACGCTATTCGTGAACACTGTATATAGGGATTAATCTATATAGAAGTGGAAACTTATAGCCCAAGGCAAGAAAATTACGGAAAAAAAATCTTTTCTTCAAAATTGGGACTTTTTTTATAAAGATCCTATTTCATTAAATACAGAAGTTTTTAACATAGTGCATTAACATTTTCAATAAAGTAAAACTGAGCATTTAAACATCATCCTGTTTATAAGCAAAGCCTTCCCAGTTCAGCGATTTACCTCAGAGTTATTTCCCTCTGATGGTCAGTATCACATGACCAACCTTTTGTGTATTCAACTAGTCATGTGTCAACAGTGTTATGTGTGTTTCTATAGGTCCTTAAAATTGTTGATTGGGCCTTGAAAACGGCCTTAAATTTGATGTCTGATAATCTGTTCGAACCCGGACTAACATGGATACAGGTTGACTGGTTACATGTAGCTATATTAGAAATATATTTTGATGCCTATAGGATGGATCCGGTAGATATTTAACATGCTAAGGAATGTTTCAATACCTTTTCAGAAATTTTCACTGACACTTGTAGATTTTTTAAATATCTGGGGTGGTGGGGTAGCCTGGTGGTTAAAGCATTCAGTCGTCATGCCAAAGACCCGGGTTCGATTTCCCACATGGGTACAATGTGTGAAGCCTATTTCTGGTGTCCTCTGACATGATATTGCTGGAATACTGCTAAAAGCAGCGTAAAACTAAACTCACTCACTCACTCACTCACTCACTCACTCACTCACTCACTCACTCAAACTCACTCGGCCTTTGAGCAGGTGTCAGAGTCAGTGTAATAATATGGATTCAAAACAGCAGGGGTAGAAATAACCCAGGGGTTAACCCATTGCCCGGCGTCCGAGTCCAGTGTTTTTTTCTGTCGGGTAAGCAGATTTGTATATCACACTGTACCGATGTCCAGTTGACTTTCCAATATTATTTATGTTGTTTATTTTAAAAAATCAACATGAAAACGGCCGGTATAGTGGAAAAATTATCAGGGCAAGTGATTTTACATATGCCACTGTTCCGGAGTACACTAGCAATTTTAAAGTTATTTGCACCCCTGAACAAGCTGGTTTAAAGGAGCTTTACGGTAATATATTACCATGTATATAGAAGAGACATGGTTGATATTTATATATGTACACACAGTCCTGGGTCACAAGCATGAACATGCATAAACTGTCAAACCATCTCTCCTCACAAATGTCCATTGGACAAAAATATAATTTCAGAACCGAAAGGGGAATAATGACTGCTGCCCTTTGTCGTAGGTATGATGTGAATATTTGATGTTTAATAATAATATGCCATCATGGTTCTGTCAGTGGAGCAGCACATTAAAATATGTCGCCATAAATGTCGCGAAACGTAAACACGACACAGTGAGCCTTAGTGGTACAAATTTGTTTATCTAAAACAGGATGAAATATAGGATATCATTATGATAATTATGGAGTCGCTGTGATTGCTGCAACCATCATGGCAAATTACTTGTGATTATAAGCACTCGATTGTCACAAAGCGATGACGAAGTCAGGACGCGATCATGCAGTGAATATTCACGATGGACAAACTCTGGAAAATTTGGGGGAGTGGAGAGACGTCAACGGCGTCATTACCGAAGTTGATACCAGCGGTACCAGAAGTGATGGGTCCTTACCAGAGATTTGATCTTCAATTTGTGTTGAAGGAAATTGAAACTGCAGATCATTATGTCGAGGTAGGATGTGGCGGACATTTTGAGTTATTTTTGGAAGGATGTTTTGACTTTTCAATATGGAGTCGGATGGAAAATTGTGGTTTGTCCTGATTCTGGTCGGGAGTTTAGAGTCTATGGTTGTAATTAATGTTGGTTTGATGAATTGATGGATAAGTTCATGACCTTTGTATTTATGGGTTATGACGATAAACCAGACATAGTTGTACTTTAATGGTTTTGCTGGATGTTACATGTTGCATGTTGTCCCTAAACGTAAAACTTAAGAATGGACACCGCAGATAATCAGGATTTTACAAAGACTTTTAAAAATGGGAGTCATGGTGACTCACAATATTTATTTTGGGGAGTCATTTTCAATATTTGGGAGTCGTGAAAATTTAATATTTCTTTGTGTTTATCATTCTCAGTATGTAATATTTCTTTGTGGTAATCATTCTCAGTATGTTACTGTGTACGTCACACCACCAAATGGAACTACAGCATTGTTCCATTCAAACAGCCAGGATTACTGTCTCCTCTGAGTTCTCTGGAGCAATCTGACATCTCTGTAAAAGTCAAACTATCATCGAACAATATCATTTTTTGCTTATCAAATCGATTTTATTGAACTGAATTGTGAAGGCCACCCATAAAACTTGCGTCAAACTTGACTCGTATGATAGTATTTTGGAAGTCGTTAACAAAATTGTTGCGTCAAATACGCAGGAATCCCGCGTCACAATTCCCAATGTGAGTGTTATTGGATGTTGGAATGATTGATGTTTTAATAAGCTGAAATATGTCAAATCAAGGTGAAGGGTCAGGCTTGATTTCCAACACGGGTAGAATGTATGAAGCCCATTTCTGATGTCCCACACCATGATATTGCTGGAACATTGCTACTAGCAGAGGAAAACCATTCTCACTCATGTAAACTTGATGTTGTGAGTTTTTCTGTTACCCATTCATTCATAAGGCATCACATGCAGTTTGTAGGTTACTTCCTATTGGGAACCCTATTTTCGTTCCTGGGATAACCCCAAGGACAATTATTTGGAAGGTAAATGCCTTTACTGGTATCATGTAGTCTTTCTCACTGTCGCTGCACTGCATTATCATTTAGTGCTTTGTTACTTGCACTGGTGCAACCCAATATTACAAAGTGTAACCTAGTTATTAGTCTAACTTGCACCAGGTGCAATTTTGAGTGGGTAAACTTCTGAATAAAACGTCTAAATAATTGCATCTACTTATAGCAGTAAAAGCAGTGCAACTAGAATTTGGCTGGTGCAACTAGGTTTTTATCTTAGGCTGCACCTGGTGCAACTAGTTTTTTTCTCATATGCTGCAACTGATGCAAATAGATTTTTATCTTAGGCTGCACTTGGTGCAACTAGGTTTTATCTTAGGCTGCACCTGGTGCAAGCAGGTTAACAGCTCTTAAATCAAGCTCTAATTATTTTCTCTTTAGCCCTGCCTTTCTGCTGTGCTAAAGCCCAAAATGAAGCAAGTTAGATTTCCTCCGGTTGTCCCATCTCACTGGGGCTCCTTTCCAATTTTCAGTTTGTTTCTCTCAAAATGATATATATTCAGTGATTAAGCGTTAGTCTATGTATCATGCTGTGATCCTTTTAAAAGATTATGTGAAGTCTGAAGTCGCGGTGTGAAATGAGTGTGAGACAACTGTACATTTTATAGTAATTTGTGTTTTTATGAATCTTGAATTGATAGTATGAGGCCGTATATTGATTTGGTGAATTTTTGATATCATGATGAGCCTAATGTTTATGTTATGTCATGGTGAAATGAGAATCTGTTGATCTTAGATTATCAATTTGGTGAATTTTTACTAAAATTATCAACCTGATGTTTATATAAATAATAATATAATGTGCTTGATTGGCATTTTAGAACATGCTATTTGATGAACTTAATTATTTTCTGGATTTCATGTTCTTTTATTCTTTGATACCACATTTCTGGGTCTGTTCTGGCCCCATTTTTACCTGATGATGGGCCCGGAACAGGCCCCGAAATGTTGTATCAAAGAATAAATCTTAAATCCAACCTTGACATGGATGTTTCATTCATTGAAACACTTGCTAGGCTGATCAGCTTTATGTGAACTAGTTGACAGGAAACGTCATCTATATACTGCCTCAGTAGAGCTATCTTGGATAACCCAAGCTGCCTGTGAGGCCCTAGAAGGTTAATAGTCATGGAGAAATGAGAATTTATTGGAACTGGAAATTTCCCAAATCATGCAAGGAGTTAGTGTGAAATAAGAGTTTATTGGTCCTGCCTGTCAGACCTCCATGTTGGATTCGGCCAGGGTGGAGCTCGTACATGGACTCAGAGTGGTGGTCATGTGTGGGTTGGTAGACGTGATGGGCGTGTAATTAAAACTGTGACATTTCAGATCTGTTTGAGTCATTAGGATCAAACCGAAGGCTAAAACAGTCCATTGAAATTACTGCTGGAAGCTGATTGAAAACCTTTCGTGTTGATGTCAACACAACCAATGCCACAACCCACAACACAACAGACACATTAAAATGAGTCACAACATAAGATAACCAAAAAATTCAGCACAGACACATTACAATAAAGTCACATTATAACACAACCCATAACACAATCCAGAAGACATTACTACTAAAACCACAACACAACCATTGACACCGCCCACAACACACATAACTGATCACAACACAACTGATGGCACAATCCTCGACACAACATACATTACTAGCAACATCACCCCACGACACAACCCTCAACACAACACATATGTTACAACCATAATCACATCACAACAACCAACGACACAACCCTCAACACAACACATATGTTACAACCATAATCACATCACAACACAACCAATGACACCGCCCACAACACACATAACTGATCACAACACAACTGATGACACAATCCTCGTGGCAACCTACATCACAACACAACAGGTCACTAGCACAATGACATCACAACACAACCCATGACACAACACACAAAGGATGGTCATGTTACCATCGAACTGCTCCTTTCCTATACCACTATCAACAATATATATTGTGATAATTGTTCATGATACATGTGTATCATAATACTTAATACATAGCTATGAATTATGTAATAATTTCAAATGGACGGTAGGGTAGCCTAATGGTTAAAGCGTTCACTCACCATGCCGAAGACCTGGGTTTTCGATTCCTCACATGGGTACAATGTGTAAAGCCAATTTCTGGTGTCCCATGCCATTATATTGCTGGAGTATTGCTAAAAATGGCATTTAACTAAACTCACTCACTCACTCAATACCAGATCAAATCAGTCAATACTGGTGTGTATAGTTCACATAGCATACTATCAATAATTACATCTCAATGCTGTTAGGACTGATACTGTATGGACCAGTACTGTGAGTATCAGGACTCTACAGGGGTGGAAATAACATTAAAAGTGCTAGAGTACACCGGTACAGTGGCACATGTAAAATCACTTGCCCTGATAATATTTTCTCTATACTGGCCGATTTTCTTGTAAACAACATAATTAACATTGGAAAGTCAACTGGATATTGGTATAGCGTGATATATATACAAATTTCCTTGCCCGACTGGAAAAAACACTGGACTCGGATGTCAGGCAATGGGTTATTTCCACCCCTGCTCTATTAATACATTACTTGTAATGCTGTCAGCATTCTACGATGTATCAGCCCTTTGAGTAATAATACTGTTTGAATACTGTTGGTGTCAGTACTGAAAATGCTGAAGTTGTGTCAGTACAAAAAAGAACATGTTTGATGCGTCGATTCTGACATCGCGGATGGTCATACCTACATGGATGTTTCATTCATGCAGAAACTTGCTGGGCTGATCCGCTTTATGTGAACTAGACGGCGGGGAAGGTCATCTGTTCTACTTCAGTACTGACGACCCTGCAGATAGAGCTACTTATCATTATCGCTGCCTATAAACCTGATGAATATCTAGTGCTTTAGGAGGGGCAATATGTTTTGGATTGCTGTGTTGTATTGATCTGGAATCTGATCTGCATTACTGCAATGAATATTAATGTCATATCTTTATGATCAGCTCGAAATTCATGCTAGCCTGCTAGCCCGAGGCTGCTGAAATGTGCTGAGGGCAAGTGAAAATCCTCACTGACGGTTGAGAGTTTGAGAGTTATTGAGAGTTAAATATCTGGCAGAAACAGTTCTCCAACTTTCAGTTTCACGATGACTTGGAACAGAACAAAATGTCACTTTTAGCAGGGACTTAACGATTATCATTCTCTGTGATCTGCGTCAACAAGGTTTTCAAAATTTCTTCTGATTTGTCTAAATTAAGATTTTTGTACACGTGAAGATCCAGTTTAGAATTGATCTTCAGCAAAACATGGTTGTAAAAGGCGACTAACGGGATCGGATGGTCAGACTCGCTGACTTGGTTGACACGTGTCATTGTATCCCAATTGCGTAGATCGATGTGCAAGATGTCAATCACTTGATTGTCTGGTCAAGACTCAATTGTTTATAATGGGAATATTGCTGAGTTTGGCGTTCAACAACAAACAAAAAAGATTTTTGTCGTTAACACCCTCATGCTAGTACCTTCATACATCAGTTTTCTATGCACTCTTTTTGGTCTCTGTTCATGTTTTTGTCTGTTGTTTGCAGGGAGCACGGGTATGGATCCCGGATCCCGAGGAGGTGTGGCGAGCTGCCGAGCTGCTGGAACCCTACACCGGGCAGTCCAAGCTCAAAATACAGTACGAGGAGGGGGAGGTGAGTCCGATATTTTAGCCCACTTAGGCATTGTGGGATATGTGGGGGAGCCACTGCAGGCATTGTGGGATATGTAGGGCAGCCGGTGAGGTTTATGGGACTGGCCTCATGGGACAAGCCTCACAGGACAAGCCTCACTTGGAGTCAGCCACTGAGGCATTGTGGGATGTAGTTCAGCCATTTGGGCTACTGATGCATTGTGGGATGTGTGGGTCAATCATTTGGGTGACTGATGCATTGTGGGCCTTGTGAGTCAGCCACTGATGCATTGTTGGACATGTGGGTCAGCGACTGAGGCATTGTGGGACATCGGTCAACCATTAGGACTACTGATGCATTGTGGGATGTATGGGTCAGCTGTTGGGGCTACTGAGGCATTGTGGGACTTGTAGGTCAGCCACTGATGCATTATGGGACATATGGGTCAGCCACTGTGAACAATGTAGGGATGTATGGGTCAGCTATTGGGGCGACTGAGGCATTGTGGGATGAGTAAGTCACTGATGCATTGTGGGACATGTTGGTTACCCTTTGGGCAACTGTTGCACTGTGGGATGAGTGGGTCAGCAACGCAGCAACAATGTATAGAACAGTTCCCACAGCAACAGTAAATTTTAGAATATCCTCGTCTGAACAGTTGTCAATCACTTTATGTCGCTGGCTTGAGCAATTGGTTGATCTGGAATCTTTAGAACTTTTATTGCAGAATAGACACGAGGCACTCTTCACATTTCAGAATGGCTTGGACATCCTTGAGTGTGACAAACTCTAATGCATATTTTCATGACAAAAACATATATTTCGTTCAGCTTTCAACTTCCAGAATTTGACATAGCTTCAGCAATGCATCAAAATTCATCATTCAAAATTGAATCAATGTGATAGCAAATATTTATTCATAAAATCTGCCACATGTTCGACCTAAAGATGGAAATGTCAAGTGACGTTTTGCAAACTTCAAGCCTATGTAATAACCTGACTCCTAAGTAACACTTCGGCCAAACTCTCATACCAGCATTCACATAGCAGAGCTGTGAATAAACAATTAACCATGATAACGGCAAATATTGAAATATCAAGTGATAGAGGAAGGTGGTGATTGCCATTAGTTGAGAGTAGCTGCTGATGAGCTGATTAAATGACTCTTCCTCTGTGTATTCCAGGACATGTTAAGTACCCAGATCACCTTGACACCCAAAACAGGAATCCATGTGGGGATTCTTGGCTAGGATGGTTCCCCAGCTATCTATACTGACTGACTGAATTTGGTTTTATGCCGCTTTTAGCAATATCTGTACTTGGCTTCACAAATTGTAAGAGGTGGCCAAATAGATTGATGGCTACCCCTAAAGTCTTGCTCAGTTGGTTATCACATCCCAGTTCAGATGTATCAGCTCTATGCTCATCATGCCGGTCACTGGATTATCTGGTCCAGTCCTGTTTGAGACTGCCATTATATATTTGGAGTTTGCTGGGCCGAGCAAATACAACACACATATCATCAAAGTCTAAAACTGAACAAAATTTTCAAAAGTTTGGCACCTTCAGTAAAATTAAAAATTAAGTTATATGTCCTGATGCAGGAACCGAAAAAAGATATTGTATCCCCAACATAATTTTAAGAACTCCCCACCCGAGTTACATGGTCTCTAAGTGCTCCAGGAAGCAACTAGATAAATCTGGTTACATTTGGTGACCTTGCTTCCAACCTCCAGTACAATCTTCTTTTGACTTCCTCTGGGGTAGCCTTGCGGTTAAAGCGCTCACTCGTCACGCTAAAGACCTGGGTTCGATTCCCTACATGGGTAAAATGTGTGAAGCCCATTCCTGGTGTCCCCGCCATGATATTGCTGGAATATTGCTAAAAGTGGCATAAAACCATACACAGTCAGTCAGTCCTCTGTTGCGTTGCATCAGCCCGGCTAGAATACCTCAGTGTGCTAGCACTGTAATACTGATGTACCAGGTCACTCCCTAGAACCAAATCACTCCAGACAAGGACTGGTTTGCTTGGAATCTGCTGTTTGAGCAGGGTTTCCATGTTGAACTGAAGCATGGGGTCTCAGTGCTCTAGTCAGTGTAGCACCGCGTGTACTTGTTGGTCCCTGCCTGGTGGATTAAGACCAGGTCACTAATGTGTCCCTAGAACCAAATCACTCTAGACAAGGACTGACTGGCTATAAAACCAGAGTCTGCTAGTGTCTGAGGGTGGTGTCCATGTTGAACTCCACGAAGCATGGTCATCTCAGTGCTCTAGCAGTGTAGATCTTCAGCAAAACCCATGCTTGTCGTGTCTGAGGGTGGTGTCCATTTTGAACTGAAGCATGGATCAGTGGTGGTCAGGCTTCAGCAACCCTGACTTGGTTGATACATGTCATCGGTTCCCAGTTGGAAGACACATGTCAGATCAATGCTCATGCTGTTGATCACTGGATTGTCTGGTCCAGACTTGATTATTTACAGGTCGCGCCATATAGCTGGAATATTGCTGAGTGCGGCGTAAAACTAAACTCACTCACTCATTCTAGCAGTGTAACACCGGTGAAGGAAGACCAGTTCACTCCCCAGGACCAAATCACTCTTGACAAGGACTGGTCAGCTAGGATCCAGTATCCTGTGTCTGGGTGTGGTATCCGTGTTGAACTGTTGCATGGTGTCTCAGTTGGTTGGCAGTATTAAACCAGCCCAATGCAGAACACAACCAAGCAGCTTCACAAACACATGCATGCCTCTGGCAATATAACAGAAAGTGGTGTTTAAACCCACGTCTCACCTGCCCATCACAATGTCTTTCAGGTGCGTAGGACATCCAAGGTGATGTTCAGGCACACATACATGGAGGTATTTGGAATGCTGAGTGAAAATTGATTTGTTGTAAGTTCAAAGCTTATAGACAGTTGAGCAGTTACAAAGCATGTTCCTGCTAATGGCTTGTGAGATTCCAGAAAGGATTGTAGAGGAACCTGTTTGCATTGACCCCATTCCACCTCTGACCGAGACTTCTCAACAATGTCGTCTTATAGTTTACTGGTTTACAATCTCGCACCAACCTTATCATTGGACAGCCAGGGGTGTATCTGTCACATTTGACCATGTCTTAACTCATCATCTTGTACAACGGTTGGGGTCATGGTTCATCTTGCCGAAGACCGGGTTCAAACAAGGGCCCATTTTTATGACCTTGATGTCATTTGCAATCAAACCAAACTTCAGTTGCACTTTACAAAGGGATATTTTTGCACTTTGGATATTTTTGTTTTATGGATTTGATCAGCTGAGTGCTTAAACCCATGATTAAAGATAGAAGTTCTATTAAAACATTTTTTACTTGACATATCCAACTTTCATTGATTTGACAAAAATAAGAGATAATTTTCAAAATCATACAAAATTTAACTTTTCAAATTTTTATTATAATTTTAGCTTAGCCTCAGCAATCTTCATTTCTGAATTTCTTTAGAAAAGAGTACTATCTTAAAAACATTTATTCCAAATGAAATTGAAACTATTGATCACATTTTTTTAAACCAGCCATGAAAACTTGTTAGCATGATAAAAAACCCCACTCAAATAAAAAAACTTATTGCAACATATCAATGTGAACAAATTCTTCTCAAGGACAGGAACCATTTCTAAGTTGTACTTGCTATGACAATCAAACAACCGTTCCCCCTTAAATGATCAAGTGTATTCCTTAAGAAGCCCTCCTCAGTCTATAATCTAAGATCTCTTCAGGGTCCTAGAGCAGCTCTCCGTCAAGGGCAGAATGAAGTCCACAGATTCTAATAAGATTATCTGAGACAGCAACCAGTAGCTAAAGTGGGCGGCTGTAATTAGCTCTGTCCCCTTGACCTGAGTCAATAAGGGCTGTCAGTGTTTCGTCAATACCAGCTTTTCTTCACAGGACATTCAAACTTGGCACCTCTTGGCGAACCGTACATCTTAAGAGTAGAATGTCTTTTTGAAGGTTTTGAATAAGGAGTAGGATGCCGTAGATTTTTTTGTGGCCTGTTTCTGTGAGGATATGCAGATTCCGGCACAAAGAAGTTCCTTGTATCGCAGACTGGCACAAAGTCAGTTACCATGGGGGATAATGGAGTAACATAGAAATGCCAAGATTGTCCTGAAGACTAATAGAATATAAATAATTTAGGAGTTCTTAATTGTTTTGTCATGAACAGAAAAGGTCCCTCGTCCATATTTGTTTTTTCCTTTTTTGATAAGCTTGAACTCCCCCCAAAAATTAATCAGGGTAAAAATAATATAAAAAATATATTTTTTGGGTTCAATGTATTATTTTCTAATTTGAAAAGTTACGGTAGACAGTGAAATATGAACCATACAGAATTATACCCTTTACAGTGTATTAAATATATTATTTGCCATAAATGGTTTGAAAAACAATTTCAGTTTCCAATCTCAGAAATACTTGGTTGGAGTTAATTCATCAACTTTCAGTTTTGGAGACACTGAAAATACAATAAGACTACACTTAAGCTTTGCCTAATACAAGGGCAGAGTTGCAAACCTCTACAATTTTATGGTATGAATTTTATCCTCTAACTACTCCAATACGATTGCACTAGAAATTCTACAAAATCTGAAGAAAATTAATTAAAATCAGACATATAGACAAACATATATTTTTGTCTATTGAATAAATTTTAGGAAGTCACTCACTTTCCATTCATCAAATTTAATGACATACTTGAACTGGAATCAATGCAAGTAACAATTTGGAAATCTGCTGTTGGAGGTATGTGAAATTAAAGCTTCACTCTTGATTAGTGTCATATTATCTTTCTCAGAATCCATCATGATTTTAAGTATTTTGTTGACTACTAATTTTATGGTCAAACTACTAATTTTGATCCTTGAAACTACTATTTGCAACACTTTGGGGTTGGCATCTCTGCAAAGGGTGTCCTGATAGACAGTAGAAGTTAAGACCATCTGAGGGATGTGAGATAGCTGTGGCTTTCCAGCCTCTGGGTTTGAAA